CCCCCCCCCCTCCCACTGTCAGAGACAAGAGGAAGGAAGTGGTAGTACAGCTCAAGGATGAGTCGGCCTTCTGTGACTCACGCTGCCACTGACCCGTGTGGCTACATGATAAGCTCACATTATGTCTCAACTGGCCCTGTGGCAGAAAACCACGCCAGCATGTCAGCCCAATGGGAAGCTGCCGCATGATGCTCGGTGACAGCCGCAGACCTTTTTCTGTTTGTTGCACCATGGGAAGGAATGAATGCAGTCCATACATGGGCATAGTTAGAGTGCATCTGATAATGTGCGAACCTGCTGAATATGCAAAAACAGAGTCAATCTGGGTCAACGAAGTAACTCATTTTAATGAATAGTTCATCAAAGGGAAAGATGCTTTTGGGTTACCAATGGCAACAAACATGAAGGAAAATGGGAGAAATTTCAACAACAACAAAAATCAGGCACATTCACAACTAAAGCCATATTTAGAAACTATGCACAAACCTTAAAGTGATGAAAGATCCCCTTTTTCCAAATCACACCACATTTCTCAACCATGACATCATGCATAAGCCCTATTTTCATTCCTTGCAGTGAATTACTTGATTGCATAATATATGTTAGAGCACGTCTACTTTTCAGCAGCACAACCTCACACAGTTGAACAAATAGAAGAGTGGTAGTATCTGACCTAAACACACCGCCACCTCTACTGCACACGGTGATTTGTCTGAAGGCTGATGGCTGAATAATGTATGCATGACTTGCAGAACTGTCTCGCCTTCCAGGTTCTGGGCCAGTTGTTCATATAGAAATGACTTTGCCTTCATAGGGCTTTCTGATCACAGCTGTAGGTTTCCCCACCTGCAGGCCAAATACAAAGCAGAGAGAGAAAGGTTCAGTGACCTTTGTGTACAGTAACTCATCAGGATTTGCTTCAATTCAACATGAATCTGATTTCCAGTCCCCCCCCCCCTGAAAGATGTTTTTCACATACGCCTTCATGTCCTTTATGTTTCATTTATGATGCTCAGATAATGAACAAGAAATGGTGAATCAACATTGTCAGCAAATATATTTAGTGTTGAAATCACTCCCTCGTTCAGTATTCCATAAAAAGCAAAGAGAGTTAGTTGAGAAGGTCGATGCCTGGACTATTCCGTGGCAGGGTGGGAATTATAGACTGTATGAAATATAGACGTGGTCAACATGACGTCGCCCATAGGTTTTCCAAAGAGCTCAAAGTGGGAGGCTTCGTCCATCGACATTTTGGCCGTGACGACACAGCCTAAGTCTAAAAATGGTGAAAGAGGTGGATCGTCGGTGGAGCTGAGGCGGGCCCAGGTGACCCTACAGAGGAGACAGCCAGTAGCCAGTGACTCGGTACGGTACCCACCTGTCACTCAAAGCCCTCGATTATGCATAACTTTAAGCCTTAATATAATTTAAACGGGTGAGTTTTATAAAAATTCACATCTCTGCAGTTGTCATTAACCGAGATATTAGCTATGGAGATCAAAACTGCTTTTAGTACCAAGCTGCAAACTTGTGAATTCCTGCTGTAAATTTTAAGATAGCGGGGAATTGACTCGCTTTTAGAGCCACCCTTGGTGTCACTTGGTGTACACCTGCAATAACTGTTTTTGCCACTTGGGGGCAGCAGAAACAAGTTGTAAACACAACACAGACATACCTTGACATGGTGAACTTGTTAGCAAACAGATGCTTACCTACACATCCAGCAGATGCACAGCAGCATTAGCATTTCTTTTGTTATTTCATTTCTAGTCGGGAAAAAGCAAGTCCAGGAGTTCCTCTGTTTTAGCTTTTTGGTCTCCACCAACTCCTGAGGGACATGTGTGGCTCCCGAGGAGCTAAATCAACAGCTAGTCAACTGTGTCTGTCTGCTGTTTGGTGCTGAGCAGGTAGTGTACAGTTTGTTTTCAGGGTTAGAGTAGCACAGACAGTCTTTTACGAGCTGGGGTATTATTTTCTACTCATAAAGGTCGTGGGGATTGACTGACCTGATCCCTTTGCCTGATTCTTTTGTAAACAAATTCAGAGAAGGGCTTCCTGTGGATGAATCTGCCGTGTCCTGCTGACACCTGCAGCCGCCCATCCTCATAGACCACTTTGCCCCTGGAGATGGTGACGACAGGGACACCGTGGCACTCCATGCCCTCGAAGATGTTGTAGTCCACGGCCTGGTGGTGGGTCTTGGCTGATATCCTCCTGCCAAGACACAAAGACACAACTACATGTCAATTTAGAATTATTTTGGAGCTAAATGTCTTCATCACATGCAAACCTTGTTGAAAACTTAACGCATTCTGTTCTAATCTGCCATGATGTACTCACACACAGCATCGAGTGACTGCAGACACTGTGCAGCAACAAGCAATAAACTGAATTATTTAAAAAAGCTGGAATGGGAAGATATTTAGCATGGCTGCGATAGAGTTTATAGGCAGAAATGAATAAAATGATTTATCTGAAAGCACTCATAGTTAATGTATTCAAGATTTATGTAAAATTCCTAATTCAATATTGAATGTAACCAAATACAGCGTTACGTGGTGTTAGCAAATAGTTACCACACAGCCAGCAGATACACAATGCGTTTCTGTCCATTTGACAGATTCAAATCTAAGTCCAAGATGCACTCTGCTTTGAGCTCTGATGGACTCTTCAGAGTGCCGCAAACTGTTGCCGACTGCGCCCGAAAACCCCCGCCAAACGCAGCGAGTGAACCAAAACTGAGACGTCGCTGAGCGCAAAACAAAACAACGAGCTGAAAGACACAAAAGGCCTCTGTGGTGCTGCAGAGTCGGTTGATATCTCTCTGTGTTCATCACTACGAGCTTGTGATCCTACTTGTGAATCATGTGATACATTTTTAATTAAATGATTGAATTAAGTACAGAACCTTCCATCGCTGCATGAAGTGACTAACAGCAGTAGTAACTTAATGCACCTTCTCATTAGGGAGGTGGAAGGGCTTTTTGGGAAATAATAAATCTCTGAGACGGAAAGCCCATTAAAACACTTCATATTCAAATGATCAAACGCTCCGCACTGTACAGATTGATGATGTCTGAGAAATAAATCAGATCTAAAGGACTAAATCAGCGGGGAACAGTGAAATAACGCTGACTCAGCCAGTTGCATGAAACACATTGAATGTCTTTTTCCTTTTTTTTTCCCAGAGAGCACTGCTTCCCCCATTCACATATTTCCCGTTGATTTGTAGAGCCAGACACCGTGCCACGTGTGCACTGACAAAAACAAGATGTGTCCTCATTATCCAAGTAGCAGTAATTATGAGACACACAAGGCCATCGGATGAACTTCCTCAGGCGTTCCTGGTTACGCAACCGTTTGTGGCCCCTGGTCCGGATGTTGTGTTACGAAGCGACACTCGCGCCGAAGGCAAGTCATTACGAAGTTTCACAGATGAATTCGCGGCCGCGGCTATCAAACACGAGGCGCCGTCATGCTTGAAAAGGCATCGCAACGTCCGCAGACACGCACGCACGGTGGAGACAGAACACGCACTACACCCGAGCAGGTGACGGGCCTGAGAACTGAGAACTCCTCCACAGCAGGAATTGTATAGGTCGCACTCAAGATTTGTTTTGTCGCCAGTGAATTAATCTACAGCAAATTACAGCAGTATGTAATGTGTTCTTCTCCAATTCACATCAGCGGTTAGTGACTTCCCCCGAGGGGCTGAGCCCAGATTCTGCAGCAAACAGAGCAGCGCAGTGCCATTCTGGCTTATATAAGACCTAGTGTGCCACAGTTCACGAGCTACTGGAACGCAAACTGTCCTCCGTCGCCTGCATCTGTGCGTGATGTGCTCCGCAGGACAGCAAACTGTCCCCGCTCCACATCTGGATTGAACAATAAGAAAACGGAAAGAAACAAACACAGGATGCGTTTCTTTAGACGCAGCCTTGTGATATTCTGAGCTGCTTACTGGAAATAGCCCTAATGCTGCGTGTTCTCTACTATGGAAATTGGTTTAGCTCCCACGGGGAAATGTTCGTCATCTTTAAGATCCTCACCATGACCCATCAGCATCATCACTGATGCTGTGTGCATCCAGCTGAAGCAAGTGTTACAAATCCTTCCAAAAAAAACAAACATAGGAAACAATGAATCATTCCGACAGTCTTTTTTTGTTTTTTTTTAACCGACTGATGTCATTCATATTTAAATTGTGTCGCCGCTGTAGATAAGTGATGACATACCCTGACTTCTGGATAGAGCACAATCGGCTTACGTGGTGTGTGTGTGTGTGTGTGTGTTGAGGTGGTACAAGATAAAAGATACATTGCTTCTCTTCTTAGTTGCCTGTATCTGTAGCATGCATGCTTTACTGCTAAACTTTGTAAACTTTATCTTATTCAACCCAATGCTTGACACCCTGGAGACGTGCTTTCAAGTCTGCCCAATGCTTCAGCAGCACCATCTGCAGTCTGCATCGGGAGGAGCTGCTGATAGCACTGAAAGAAATGTTTCACTTCATGCTGAGAGATAAGAGAGCATTCACAATGTGCTTTGGAGTCGAACACATTTGAAACTGTACACACAGCGTGTTCCTTTTTCTGCTAAGAGTCGGGGTCCTCACCTTGTCATCTCAGGGTCCCATATAACCACGTCGGCATCCGAGTTCTTGGCGACGCGGCCTTTCTGCGGGTAGAAGTTGAAGATTTTTGCTGCGTTGCTGCTGGTGACGGCTACAAATCGATTCTCGTCCATTTTGCCGCTGTGCTGAGGGGGGGACGCACAAAGAGGCCGGTTCGAGTAAAAGGGGCCCCACGGTGGATGACAACAAAATACAGAATTAGCAGGCAAAAGGTCAGTGCTTAACTTCAGCAGCAAGCAACTCGCTTCTGCCAAAATATCATCTACTGTGTGATTTGTGAGCGCTGTGGAATGTGGTAAATCTTCCAAGCGGCCTCGGGGCAGCCGGGCTTCACAACAACTGTGAGAAAATGCAACGTCGGCTTTGTGCAGCGATCTGCAGCTCCGAGAGAGTTTAGCCTTTTTCTGTTTGTATTGTAGAAAAAACAGAAACACTTGATATTTCAGCTCAAATAAAATGAGAAAAGTATCATTATTTGTGTTAAAAGAGTGTACATTCTTAGCCAAACAGTACATTTGATGATGATAGCCCAGTAGGGTTTAAAGATGTACAATAAACGTAAAAATAAAATAAGTAAAAGGGCCCTCATAGGAGCCTTATAATCTGATACTGTGTCTAAATGTATGTATCTTTTTATCAGCCCACTGCCACATCACTCCTGCTGTTCCAGACTTAGTGCTGAACAATGTCACAATGAGTGCGTTCATATCATTAGCACACACCACTCCTTTCTCCCAGATCACAGACATCCTGTCCTCCACTCCGTTCACTCCGTTCGGGATCTTGGTGAAGTCGTCTTTGCCGAGAGCCTTCTGGCACACAGAGAAGGTGCAGTTGTCCGTCCCCGTCACACTGAGATCATCACTAGCACGTTTGATGGATAAATATATGCATGGGTGAATGACTAATGAATGAATAAGCAATACAGAGCAAATACATAACAGCCATACTTGTCAGCTTCAGCATCTTCACCCTCCTGTACTCAAAACACAAAAAACAATTGCTCCCAAGCATACACGCTAAGTTACAAAGCGCACTAATCTGTGATGACACGGCTGGTTGCTAAACTGTCAGTTCCACCTACTTGGCCAGTAGGTCCATGAGGTACCCAGGGGTGCTGGGGTCAGGTCTGAGGGGAGGACCCATGACAAAGCTAGCAGCATGGGCCCAGTCTTTGTGCCAGCAGTGAGTGCCGTCGGTGCCCAGTCCAGCTGCAATGGGCTCCCCGAACACCACACGCCCTGTAGAGTGAGGACATAAAAAATACAAGACGTTTCAGCGGTCACATGATGACACCGGAGCAAGTTCCACCTGCTGAAGAAGACGAAAAGTTAGTTCAATTGCTGCTTCAGAGGCTTTTCCACTGTGGAAAAAAATCACGTGGACACATTGAATAATTTAATTTTTTGTGTTTTTTTTCCTTGAAAAAATTAAAGACATTAAATATTTATACCAAATATGAATACTGATATTGGTTCTGGCTTTAAAAAAGAAAGACCACCGTCTCTCAACCTTGCCCTGTTTCAACAGCAGGGGGCAGCACACCCACCATCTCTGCGTGCATTAGACACCACCTTGGCAGCAGATTTGCTCATGACATGGACCACGTACAGCGGGCAGTTGACAGCGTGTGCGATGGTGATGGCTCGCTGGGTGGCCTCGGCCTCCACCTCCTCCGGCCGACACAGCTCATGGCCCTCTGGCCCCGTGATGCCCAGAGACAGCATCTTCTTAGCACCCTGCCGAGTCCCAGCGGGGACGGAGACAAGGAGGCAGATTAAAGGTTATTGGAGATGGGAGGGTAACAACAGCGCAGCATCTGACCAACTCTAACTAACACAGGTGAAACTAAACTAATATTGCAAGGAGCGTGTGAAAATATGAACCGACAACTCAGAGCGGTGCTTTAAAACACGTGAACCCTTGTGTTAAGAATGATCTTCCTTGTCCAACGATGTGTAAATGATGATGATTGCAAAATCTATTTTAAATATTTGTTTCCCTTTTCTTCTAACCTTTTTAACAATCCAATATGTAGAGATGTGTTACATTGGTGGCGCTTCCCTTTGTCACAAACTGGGTTTGCAGATTTTGTGAAAGTGATCGAATGCGGAAATGACAACAAAGCAACAACAAAGGGAATATTTCATGTTTTATATGTTGTGCTATGCATGGACGAATATATATTCATTTAGTTTGACAATGAGTAACTCACAGACAATGAAATGTCCCACTTAGGCCTTCTATGAACAAACTGCTGTAAAACTAAAACAATAAGAAATATGAATATCTATGAGGCATTGAGAAGGAGTTGTGCTGCATTAAAAGTACTGTCAGCCACAATAACAGATGTAGAGAATATAAATAAAATCAGCTGTATTCATGTTTCACAGCTGGAGAACAAAAACAGATGTAATGCATTATTTTCTGTGGCAGACTTCTGAAATATGTCATCAGTTATAAAATAATGTTTATAAGCAATTCCCATGAAGTTAGAAAAAGTCTAGGCTGTCAAGCCATCATTTTGGGAGCGGTGAAAGAACAGACCATTTGGGTTAACGACACAAAGTCATGTTTACCACACCTTTAACTCATGTCCCGGTGGCAGCATTAATCATGTGTTCCCAACCACAAGAGGCCCGCTCGCTTTCACTCTTTTGGCCTTTGCTACAGCCTAGTGGTGGATTGTTGTCATGACATGGCATTCTGACACGTCAAAGCAGAAAGAGGCCCTGGACATATCACACTACCCGTGGTGAAAAAGACATATTCTTGGGACAATCCGGAATTCTTTCGGGTTAAACACTTTCTGACGGGGCAGAATTTGCCTTTGGTGTTACATCACATTGCTTTCCATAAGCAACCTTTGATTTGCTCTCATTGCTACGACAGACAGGGTCAGTGGACCTTGAACCACCTGGAGCGTAGTTAAACATAGTTTTTATTCTAAGCTAAAAGCAATCACTGTTATGGGTGAATGTGAAAAGTGTTGAGTAGCTTCATTATTTGTTGTACTCCTTCCTAACACATTATTTTCACTATAAAAGACATTATCTGACAGGAAGAGTGGAAATCACGTACATAAGCAAAAATGGGAAACAAACAAACAAACACCATAGCTGCTCTTCAATACAAGTTCCATCTTTCTTACTGTCGGTTTCAATGAATTCACCGTACGAACCTCTGCGATCAGGTCTCCGTTCTCGGCATGCACCTGAGCTATGGCTCCGACCTCCTTACAGTGGGAGAAGGCAGCGTACAGCTCGGAGTCCTGCAGCATGAACACGTCTTTGTAGGCCATAAACATTTTAAAGGAATTGACTCCCTTCTCTTCAGTGAGCGTCTGCATCTCTTTTTTGACCTGGAGAAGAAAAGGGTTGACATGGAGGACTAGAGCGACATTGATTCTATATTCATAGTACCGCTTTGAAGCATATAGGAACATTGTGCCTAAAACAGAACACAAGTCCTATTTCACATTTATATTCTCTAGCAGACACTTGTGTGTGGTGCGATTATATTTTGGGATCGGCAAACGTACTTGTAAGCCAACACTTTACCAAAAGAATGTTTTGCTTTTTGATCTATTAACAATGATTCACCTCGTCGCTCCACCATGTGACGGCGACATGCAGCGAGTAGTCGCAGCAGACTTTGGGGTCAGCTTTCTTTCGCCAGCAGTCGTAGGCCTCCAGGAGAGACTTGCCCCTATGAGGGATGACAAAGTCCAGGATCATTGTTGTCCCTCCTGCCAGGGCAGCCTGGTGAAACACACGCATTGAAAGGATGCCAGTTAAAGATTAACACTTACACACACACACTGCCAATGTAAAGCTTAGGCGTAGATTCCGCATGTACACCGTTATTAAGACTGTAACGTGTAGTTCACTCAGTGTTATACAAAACTGACACAAACTGCTAATTGGTATTTGATGTATTATGACTTAGTTGTTTAGCAGCCTGTTGAACTGCACTGTGCCAGGTGTGGACAGAAACATGAGGAACACTGGAGTAAAGTAATGCTGAATGTTTATTTATGCTTCTGTATTTGGAAATATATTTCCACACCTTCCAGATCATGTGTGTGCACCTGGTCACAGCCTTTAAAATAAAAACACCAACACGCGCGTCAAATCGAAGATAAATACAGCATTATAATAAAACGGAATCTAATTTTGCACAAGCTCATTTAATATACTTCAAACTATTAAAAGAAAGGTGCAAATTGAATGCCAATACCACAGATGAATCCTACACCTGTGGGTGCATCAGTACATGTCGTCCAGGTGTTTACCACCAGTGACAGCAAATTGGATAAATTCTTAGATCGTCAGGATATTGTGTTGTGCACTGATGGAAAGTAATCACGCAGATTTACTCAAGTACTGCGCAGTACAATTTTGAGGTATCTCCAGCTTCTACTACCTCATACTTCTACCATTCAATTCAGATGCAAATATTGCATATTGCATATGTTTACTTGACAACATTAGCCGCTAGGTAATTCAAATTGCAGGTTCAGATTGACAAAACAAAATATAATGAACAAAAGGTAAGTATGATGAAAAATGAGACTTAAATAATCCCTGGGCTCACGATCTACCCAGCACTGCATTAAGTAGTTACCAGTTACAATACCATGATAATGCATCAATCATTACAATCCAATATTATGATACACATTACTTTTCATGGGTCATTATGCCGAATGAGTCTTTTTCACTTTTGGAATATTTTGATGCAAATACTTTTGTATTTATACTCCAGTTACATTTTGAAAGCAATAAATTAAACTTGATGATAATGCTGGATGAATATGATTGCTACTGTTATCATTATAAGCGGTTATGGCTTTGTAAGGTAAAATAAATATTGGAGAAAATGAATTATAAGAAGTCAAACTAAAAGGTAGTGAACATTTGAACAGCGGATTATTGTGAAGGCAGCGCCGCTTAACGTCATCACCGTGACGCACCCGAACCCCTGCTTTTGTCCCTCATCTATTTGACGCAGTGTCAATAACTAATATGTTGACCTTGGTTCCGATGTAGAAGTCGTCCACAGCCTTGGTGCCCATGAACTCCAGCTCCATGTGTGTGTGCGTGTCGATGCCGCCCGGGATCACCAGTTTATCGGTGGCATCGATGACTCGCACTCCCCCCGGGATCAGAAGGTTCAGTCCCACTTCCACTATTTTACCATTTTCGATGTAGACGTCGCTGATCACGGAGCAGTCCTCGTTCACAACTTTACCCCCTTTTATCAAGATCCCGCTGGACCCGGCCATCCCCGCTGTGCACGGCTGAGAGGGGGTTTAAAAGAGAAAGAAAGAGAAAGAGAAACAAAAGCCAGAGTTTGTGAAAACTGCACAGAAGTGACAGCAGAGCAGCACAGACGATCTGACGCTCGTCTGTGTGCAGCGAGTCAAAGACAACCGCACGAAGGTCAGTTCCAAAGTTCATGTAAGAAGAGATATTGCGGTTATTCGACTTCTACAATGTAGGAAAGTGTGTTTACCTGTTAGACTCCGCCCTCCTAAAACCACCCGCCCTCCTAGATATGAAGCACAGCACATTTGCAGCTGCAACACATTTTCACTGCATTCCGAACCGTTTCCGTTTTCCTTTTTGTACATAAGCAGATGCCCTAATAAAGTATGTAACCCATGGGGAGACCATGCGAGGAGGGAGGAAATGACAAATAAGAGACTTCTTCATAACGTTGCATCTTGAACTTTGACCCCGTTGCTATCTGTTGCACAGAGGATTGTGGGTCAGAACAACCAGAAAAGCATGCTGGCTTCTCCTGGCATACTAAATAGTAGGTAGGATGGATATTTAGAATGCACAGATTTTAAGTAAACTGGTGCGGTGCTCTTTAAAAGAAATGTGAACTGTGTATTGTGTAGAACGTTCCAAAGTAAAAAAAAACCATTACTCTGGCGGATACAAAACATACTTTTTTTATTTATTCACATAGTTTGTTTGTTTGTTTTTTCCCAAGAATGCATTTTGTCGATAAAATGGTACTTATGTGGGTCTGTCAGAGGTCAGGGGAACAGTAGACGTACTAAGTAAGTCAAAATAGTTTACCCTGCTACCTAAAACTAATGCAGTCTAGTACAACAGTCCTCCATGGAGGTTGTAATGTTCAGTTGTTGTTGTTTTATTCATATCGTGAGGGTAGGCTAAAAAGGAACCGCACTACGTTGGTTTATTCCTGTATATCAGCTCAACGATGACTCCTTCACAAGTTCCACATGGTTCTGTGCTTGGACCAATTATATTCACCTTATATATGCTTCCTTTAGGCAATCCAAACATTGTTATGCAGACGATACCCACTTATATCTATGGATCAAGCCAGACGCAACCAACCAGTTAGCTAAAGTCCAAGCATGCCTTAAGGACACAAAAACCTGGATGATCTGCCACTTAATGTTAAACTCAGACAAAACTGAAGTCATTGTTTTTGGCTCTGAACACCTCCGAAATAAATGATCTAATGACATAGGTGCTCTAGATGGCATTACCCTGGCCTCCAACTCCACCGTAAATAATAAGGACTGCCTTTATCACCTACGTAACATTGCAAAAAAATCCCCATTATCAGGCTGCTAAACGAAGAAAAGAGATTACTCCCGTATTAGCTTCTCTGTTCTGGCTCCCTGTAAAATCCAGAATATAATTTAAAATCCTTTATCCTCACCTGCAAAGCTCTAAAGGGTCAGTCAGCATCACATCTGATGGAGTTCATAGCACCCTATTACTCCAGTAAGAGCTGCGCTCCCAGAATGCGGGGTTACTTGTGGTTTCTAGAGTCCCCAAAAGTAGAAAGGGAGCCAGAGCTTCAATCTAGCTCCTCTCCTGTGGAACTAGCTTCCAGTTTCAGACCGGAGGGGCAGACACCCTCCCCACATTTAAGAGTAGGCTTAAGACATTCCTCTTTAAAAAAACGCTTAGGGCGGGCTCAGGCTTGCCTTGGACCAGCCCCTAGATACACTGCTGTAGGCCTAGACTACCGGGGGACTTCCTGTGATACACTGAGCTCCTCTCCCTCTCTCTCTGTATGCGTTCATGTGCCATTAATACATGTTACTAACTTGATTTCTTCCTCGAAGAAATTAGTCACATTTCTATTAGGAGTCCTGCTTTATTATCATTATCATTGTATTATATCCACTGCTGCTGTTATTATTAGTAATCATTTTCTATTATTAATTCTGCTAGTGCTACTACTGCTGTTACTACTCTCATCATATGTATCATCTCTGCCATATGGATTGACTATGTTGTAATTTGATCATGTTGTTCGTTCTGTACACAAGCCACTGATCCTGGGAGAGCTTTCACTCCTCAGTTGTTCTCCCTGATGTTTCTTCCTTCCCCCCCAGTTAAAAGTTTTTATTCAGGGAGTTTATTCTTTATCTGATGCGAGGGTCCAAGGACAGAGAATGTCGTATGCTGTACAGATTGTTAAGCCCTCTGAGGGCTTTGAAATTGAAATAACAGAGGCACCTCTCAGTATAACGCAATACATTTCTGGCAACTGAGTCATTAGCCCTCTATATGAACATGTTGCATTTTCAAGATATAAGCTTTTGAAAGATGCAACACTGAAAGTGGTACTAGTATCCTCATCATAGACGTTCCAAAACCTATAGCGTTCAAAACTGACCTCAGGACACATTACTGTACTTGATCAGTGTACTGTTCTATACTGGGAGGAAGAGAAATCCACTGTATCCTCATTCAACGGTTAGTATAATATCTTACAAAATCATTTTTATGCCAAGTCACATTGACTTTTGTTTTCACACAAGACATGAACAGTAGTCTACTGAGTTAAAGTCCTAGTTTGTTGACCTGTCCATCCACCCCAATGTCCTCCCTATGAGGACTTTGTCACTATTTACACCACGTCCCCCGACCTCCTCTGCGACAGCCCTGTGCATCCTGGCTCACAATAACGTGTGTTATATATGAATTATTACAGTGACAGTGAGCACTTTGACTCAAGGATGAACTGATTAAGGTTTGGCGGTCAAAGGTTAAAAGGTCAAGGCCGCTGTGACCTCACGTTTTTTGGCCATAACTCAAGAATTCATACGCTAACTATGACAATTTCACACAAATGTCTAATAAGATAAAATGATGAGGTGATGACACTTCTGACAGACTGCAATTGGACAGGTTGGTGGAGGTTTACAACCGTGAGGCTGTCACTCTAATTTAAACATTTTTGTGGAAGTTACTGTGGAGGAAACAAATCTTTTTAACCTCCCTGTGAGAAATAACCGAGATGAGAAAACTCTTAAAATATCAAAAATATATTTATTGAACAGAGACGAATAATAATTCAGCTGAATGGATAGAGCTCTTTCCCCACAGATGGTTCGGAGGTCTAACAACAAAGAATAGTTAAACAAAGTATTATATGCACATTGTCTTCACTACCTGCTGTCTTAAAGTCATTGTATGCCAAAGAAGCCTGAACCTAAAGAAACAAGACCTCGCTAACTGTTTGGCCCTATGATGTCACCTTTCTTTTCTTATGGCTAATACATTTTGTCTCTTGTCTCCATCACTCTTTTGACCATTTGACAACAGACATTTTGACATCATATCATGACTTACTAATAAAAATAATAATGGCTATATGCTCCTTTAAAAAGGCCTATCCTATCTCATGTTCACCGGTCATCATTCAGAAAACCTGTGACAACAATAGTTCAGCGCCAAGATTCAAACACTCTACCGAGGCGGGGAAGCTGACTAGTCAAAAAAAAAAAAATGACTCTATGTTTATGAATTGTTTGTATTCACTGTTTAAAAAAAAGAAATTAAAAAAAATCCCCAAATTCAGCAGGCTTGTGATAAGGCTGTGATATCCCCGGAGCATGCAACTGGCTCTCTTTCAAGAAGAGTTGTTAGCCACTGGGAGAGATTAGCATTTTACTGCAGTGGATTGGTTGTCGGCGCCGCATCAGTCCAGACAACTTTTCTCATCCATTAGTGTATTACGGAAACAAGACACATTGGAGAGACAAAGATGCATGCGCTGGTGAGATAAGCGTGCGCACAGGGCTTAGGAACACCTAACCTTCACAGTTGCAATAAACAATAACATGTGACTTAAGAGGATTTACATAAGATGAGAGGAGTAATCAGAGGGAGTGAAAAACCAATGAGGCAGCAATGGCATCTCCTCAAAAGTCTCTGTGCTGCTGAATGAGGAAAGTTGCCATTCCGCTGGATTTAGATGACGGCTGTTGTTATCATTTTTATTTCCTTAACCTGCATTACAAACCAACACAGATGTCAGTTTCTCTCTCGACTGCATTCAAATTCAGCGAGCGCAGCGTCGACAAGGTAAAACTCTGGCATTAGAAGGGCACAGCATGCACAAAAAGTGACATAAGATAATGCTCAGGCAGATTATCAGCGCGCTGTGCTCAGGCACAAAGAGGCTTGTTTACCGCGCTTGTGCTTACACTTCACACATCACACTGCGGCTACAGCGAAACGTGTGTTAGAGATACAACTAATCTGAAAAGGAGAAAAAGGCCAGATTATAAATCTGTCATTTTGGCATTTCTATAGCTGTTTTCAGTTGTTAAGAGGAGGGCTTTGTGGGAAATGAAATGTTTGTCCTCTTTTCATCTCCTATCTAGTTCGATTTATTTTTAAATCCAATCCCGCCAGACTTGCTTGTCTTGTATTTTTGTCTCGCAAAAGTTCTATTTTCACTCTATTTTCTTTTTATTTAAACTGGATGAAAGAAAAAAAAAATGCAAAGAATACATTTACAAGCATGCAAGGGACACACTGAGAAAGGAAATGGGTAAAATGAGCTAATTGGAAAACCAAATGACCTGCATTACTGCAAGGTTTTATTAGCCTACACACACACACACACACACACACACACACACACACACTTTATGAGCTGCAACTTGCAACACAGCCAATAATAGCAACCCAAACATCCACGCTGAGCTCTCTCAGTTTAGCCCGCCAAGCCTCCACCTGTCGACTGACCACCGACCACCCGACAGACAGGCAGCAGCAGGTAAAGCCCCCCCCTGTCATACTCAGTGCTAATTAACTAATGGTTATGCAACAACTGGCCTGAATCTGAACATGCTCACAATTGTGGGGATGATAGTGGACTTCAGGGGACGGCCCCACCCTCGCCTCTCCATGCACACCTGGCCCACTGAACTAAGGCTTCTGGGATCCACAGTCTTTCAGTGCCTGAAGTGGGAGACGGTCATATAATAAACCCATGCAGAAGATGAGC